CGCGTCTTGGCGAGCAGCTGCCGCTGCCTCTGAGCTCCAGGAGAGCCAACGCGAGCCAGAGGACTCAGAGATGCCCTGGACCATGCCCCCGCTGGCCCCCAGCTGGGACGTGGACGTGCCTCCCACCCAGCGCCCACCCTCGCCCTGGCCAGGAGGCCCTAGCAGCCTCCGTGGCTTCTCCAGACCACCCCCTGTACCCAAAAACCCCTTCCTCCAGCACGTGGGCCCAGTGCCCTCCCCTGCTCTCCAGCCTAAGGACACAGCCTCTGACTCAACCAGGATCTTTCTGGGTAGACACCACGACCCAGGGTCTGGACAGCTGAGCAAATCAGCCAGCCTGACCCCCAAGAAGCCAGAAGAAGAGGGCTGCACACGGGATCCCCAGCCACCAGCAGAGCCTGAGCCCCCCACTCTGAAACCCCCCAAGGATTCCCTTCCAGAGCAGAAAGCACTAAGACTCAGCCTCTCCCACCCACTGACTGTATCTGACCAGATGAGGGCCACATGGCCACCATGGCGCCGCTGGGGGACCCTGCCCAGCACCCCATCCCCCTTGGTGCCCACTGGGGCCCCGGGGCCCCTGCCCAGGGCAGGTGAGCGGCGCCAGGCAAGCCCTGGACGTTTTGCTGTGGTAATGCCTCGTGTGCAGAAGCTGAACTCTTTCCAGCGAGCTGGTCCTGCCCTCGTGCAGCCCCCCGTCCAGCTAACCCAGGACCCGGAGCCTGGCCCCAAGCCAAGAGCCTGGAGTCTACTTTGGTTCCGCTTCTGGCTGCAGGGGGAGACCCACCAACCCTGGCTGCACGTACCCACCCATCCCCCATCCTGCCGCCTGGGCCCTGGAGCTGCCTGCCTGCACCATGGGGGCCCCTGGGAAGAGGTTGGACCCAAAAGCTGGTGGAACAAGGTATGAGGGCACAGGTTAGAGGGAGGGCTTGGGGTTCCATCTTGGGAAACGGCAGGAGATAGTCTCGGGACTTTGGTGAGCTGCCGCCTGCCGGAGGCTCAGTCTTCCTGTCTAGTTTGGGAAGAACAGCCTCGGCCTCCCAGAGCTTCTGGAGGATTGAACAAGGGGACGCTGGGCACAGACAGGCACAGGACAGAGACGCAACAAACTTCCCCCGGATCACTTCGAGGAAGGGGTCTCGTCCCAGCCTGGGCTCTGAGCAGCCCTGTCCTGGTCCAGTCTGGATGGCGTGTCCGTCCCCAGCCCCTTCAGCGATTTTGTCTGAGCGCAAAGTGCAGACCGCGCCTGCCCATCCTGTCCCACCACCTGTTCGTGTCCGAGCTGTTCGCCCTGCCTCCTCCTGACCCTCCCCCAAATTGACGTTTTCTCTCTCTTGGGGGTTCCTGCTTAAGGGCAGTCCCCTGGGCTGTAGGGCTCTGGACTATCCAAGGGTGAGGGACTCAGGAACCAGACTTCCAGCTTCTTCATTGTGCAGTGGGGAAACTGAGGCCCATAAGGTCCCAGGGTGGGTCAGGGCTGAGCCCAGTCTGGGCCCCCTGTGGGGTGTGGGGCAGGCAGCCTGTCTGAGGGGCGCCCAACCCGTGCCTGGCTCCCATGCTCACGGTGGATCTCGACTGTGGTGCTGGGTGTCCCTCGGCCGAGGGGGTGGTCACCGGAGCCTCCCCCGGGACGCCTAGAGTGGGCGGGGCATGCAGGGGCAGCCGGTGTTTCTCAGCCTCTGCAGCCGGTGCCCCGCGGAGCGGGCGGC